AAATTTGAAAGAATTAGTAAACATTCTTTGAAGCAAATTTAAGAACAGCTTTAAACAGGAGTAGCCAAAGCAGTATCAGACTCATCAACAATAAAATAAAAAACAGAAATGTCAGTATCAGACTTAGATAGAAAAAAACAGCATCATACTCCAAGGAGAGAAAAATTAACAAAAAAAAAAAATATATATATAAACAACCTTATTTATAGGCCAAGGAAAACAAGTGCGTTTTCACTAAGTCACTTTTCATTTTGTTCACTTTCATTCATTTTTTCTCATAAATTTGCCACCTTATGGGAATCTAACCCCTCCCTCAGTTTGTAATGTTTTGTTTGTTTGTTTTTACTTCAGTGGCCCTAATACATCGTCACAGTGTTAAAAGAAGAAAAGTTTTCACATTCAAGGTTTTTCTTGCCTGTACTATTTTGCAGTAGCTTAATGCAGCTCTATTTGAATCTCATGTCTTTGTGTCTCTTCAGTTTGCTTGCATTTATGTATATGAATGTTGCCCAACAAAGCAGGATAAATGAAATTATCCATCTTTATTTACGCTCTTGCGGATCAGGCGATAGAGATGACCTGCTCCCACTGCAAGGTGACCATGTTGAAGGGCCAAACAGCTTACCAGAAGAAGGGATTCACGGACGTCTTCTGCTCCAAAAACTGCTTATTTGAAATGTTTCCCATCAACAAACCAGTGCCCAAGACCTGTCATCACTGTCACAAGTGAGTCGGTGAAAAACATCACTTCACCCTGCAGGACTACACCTCTATTCTTGCACGTAGTAGCCTACGTAGTACTAAAAAACCTTGTTGTAGTAGTTTCTTTTGTGTCATTTCATTTTGTAACAAACTGTTTATAATCTCCCCTCTTCATTCTGGCAGGGCGATATCGCAGCCTCTGGACCTCATCATGGCTGCAGTGGACGTTAAGGGCACTATGAAGGACTTCTGCAGTGTGACCTGCCTAACCTCTTTTAAGTCCCCCCCACAGTCGAGCTGCAGCATGTGCAACAAATCCTGCACTGTAAGCTAACATTTTTCTTCAACTACAAAACATTGTCAGCAAAACCATTCATATTAACTATAAACTGCATCATACTCACTGCTCCTTTTTTCCCCTCCACAGACCACATGTGAGTTGACCCTGAACAAGGCCGTTCACAAGTTTTGCAGCGACTCCTGCTTAGAAAATTTCCGCAGGGACAACGTGGGCGTCTGTGAGAACTGCAGCTCCTCCTGCTACAAACCGCTCATGCTGATGCTGGAGGAAGAGACCAAAACGATCTGCAAGGAAGAATGTCTGGAGGAGTTCAAAGAGGTGCAGAAATATTAACATGATGGTCACTTAATGCGACATTATATAAGAATTGGTTCTATGTGCGGCGTGTTGGCGAAGAAGAACAACAATAACACACCAGGAATGAGGTTAGATATTCATAAATAATAGAGCTGGGGTCATCTGGGTTTTGTTCTCAGACAACCAAAAGTGGGTCAATGTAGTTTTTAGCTCCGTTAAACAGAGGGGTCACTGAGGCAGGATTTAACAGAGCATTTGTTAGGGACTATTTTCAGCCAAAGATTAATGCACATTTTGGGTTCATTAGTGAGTATTAATCAAGGGCACTGCGGTCAGGCCAGCTGCTGTTCAGAATCTGGTGCACATCTGTTTGTGCAGTTATGATACAGGCACTGAAAGCAGCCAAAAAGCCCAAATATGAGTTATTCATAAGAAATAGCTTTAAAAAATAACAAACAAACAAGTTATAATTTTTGGAAAACGTAGATGCAACCCTTCAAGCTCTAATGATACATAACAAAGTAGAAAATGTGAAGTTATTCCACTATGATTTTTAAAGATAATTCAGATAAAATCACCTCCACTGACATTTCTGTCAATCTGTACTCTATTTCCCTGAGAGGTTTGCTCAAAATTCAAATGAATTCCTACTGAGAAGGTCATTAATAAACCCGTCAAGGATTTTTTTTTTTTATAGGAGAGAAAACATTTTTAAAATTTTATTATTTTGGTGCATAACAATAAACATAATTGATAAAAACATATAAATGAAAGATAAAGAGAGAGCAAGTACTGCAGGGAAAGAATCATAAACCATATGAAAAGAATAATAAAGGCATATAAACATATTTTTGTAAATTAATTTTGGTCATCAGTGGTCTCCTGAGCAGGGATAGTACTGTACTATCTTCACGTTGTATGTATATTGTCCATTGTAAGGCTCAAACTCAGATCATGTGACGCTCTGACTTAACTATTATTAACTGTTTTTGGCAACATATTGTCACATTATTAACTACATTTATCAAATTTTGAACTTTTTTATGTCCTTTTTGGCTGCCCGCAGCACCTGTACCGTAATTACAGGAGCAGAGGAGCAACAGATTGTAAAAGTCAGCTCTGTTAACTGCAGGACGTGGCTGTACTAAATACACAGTGAAGCGGTGTATTCATAGTTTTGTATAGCGGAGAATTGCCTTTTTTATTCTCTGTCTTTTCTTTTCTGCGAGCTCGGTATCGGAACATGAAGTGCTTTGTACCCGGTTGTGGAAATGTCCGCACGTCAAGATTATCTACCCCACAAAAATTTCACGTTTTCCCCTCCGATCCGGCGCTGTGCTGCAAGTGGCTGGAGGCCATCAAGAACCCTTGTTTCGATCCAAAAGTTACAACCGTGCTCATGACCAGGGTTCACGGTCTTCGTGTGTGCAGCGACCACTTCAGACATAAGGACTACGTAGGAGGGAAAAGGCACTATTACGCAGGGTTAAAGCGAGGTACTGTCCCGTCACTGCTGCCCTGGACAGAGCGAGAAGCAGAAACTGAACCGACAACATCCATGCCTCAGCAACAGGTAACGGTAAGCCGGCAGCAGTGCCTCTGAGCAGCTGGCTAATTTAAATATGTCGGATATTAACGTTTTGTGCCGCTGCGTAAGTGTTACCATTACATTTCACAACAGTAACACTGGTGGGTATTTAAATTGTTTGTTTTTTTTCACGTGAAAATCGAGTTCCTGGACTACATATAATAAAACAAATTTTTCTGTGGCTTAAATGCAGTGCATATACGTCAGTGTTAATGTATTAGTTTCGTTTGACTGGACCTTTTTGGTTTTGTGCTGCCACAGATCAGCATGCAGGAAGGTAATGTTTTCATTTCAGGTCAATGCCACGGAAAGTCTTTGATGAGCATGCGCAGTGGCTTCTGTCTGTCAGATATATCCCCTTAGATGAGGGGAAAAAATGTCTGGAGCTCCTCAAAATAAACTACACTGGCTGCAGTCAGTGCAATGAAGGGACATGTCATCCAGTGCAGCCTGGTGGCTGATGTTTTTATTATTTTTAAACAAAAATGGAGGTCTGTCGGACGGGGGAATAAGTTATATAAGGCTTTGCCTACACAAGTGTTGCTTGTTGCACGATACAGATTGTTTTTGGTCCTTCAGTGGGATTTGCTGACAGGAACAGAACTATACAGTGGGTACGGAAAGTATTCAGACCCCTTTAAATTTTTCACTCTTTGTTTCATTGCAGCCATTTTCCAAAAATCAAAAAAGTTCATTTTATTTCTCAGTAATGTACACTCAGCACCCCATCTTGACAGAAAAAAAACAGAAATGTAGAAATTTTTGCAAATTTATTAAAAAAGAAAAACTGAAATATCACATGGTCATAAGTATTCAGACCCTTTGCTCAGTATTTAGTAGAAGCACCCTTTTGATCTAATACAGCCATGAGTCGTTTTGGGAAAGATGCAACAAGTTTTTCACAGTTTTTGGGTATCCTCTGCCATTCCTCCTTGCAGATCCTCTCCAGTTCTGTCAGGTTGGATGGTAAACGTTGGTGGACAGCCATTTCAGGTCTCTCCAGAGATGCTCAATTGGGTTTAAGTCAGGGCTCTGGCTGGGCCATTCAAGAACAGCCACGGAGTTGTTGTGAAGCCACTCCTTCGTTATTTTAGCGGTGTGCTTAGGGTCATTGTCTTGTTGGAAGGTAAACCTTCAGCCCAGTCTGAGGTCCAGAGCACTCTGGAAAAGGTTTTCGTTCAGGATATCCCTGTACTTGGCCGCATTCATCTTTCCCTCGATTGCAACCAGTCGTCCTGTCCCTGCAGCTGAAAAACACCCCCACAGCATGATGCTGCCACCACCATGCTTCACTGTTGAGACTGTATTGGACAGGTGATGAGCAGTGTCTGGTTTTCTCCACACATACCGCTTAGAATTAAGGCCAAAAAGTTCTATCTTGGTCTCATCAGACCAGAGGATCTTATTTATCACCATCTTGGAGTCCTTCAGGTGTTTTTTAGCAAACTCCATGCGGGCTTTCATGTGTCTTGCACTGAGGAGAGGCTTCCGTCGGGCCACTCTGCCATAAAGCCCCGACTGGTGGATTGCTGCAGTGATGGTTGACTTACTACAACTTTCTCCCATCTCCCGACTGCATCTCTGGAGCTCAGCCACAGTGACCTTTGGGTTCTTCTTTACCTCTCTCACCAAGGCTCTTCTCCCCTGATAGCTCAGTTTGGCCGGACGGCCAGCTCTAGGAAGGGTTCTGGTCGTCCCAAACGTCTTCCATTTGAGGATTATGGAGGCCACTGTGCTCTTAGGAACCTTAAGTGCAGCAGAAATTTTTTTGTAACCTTGGCCAGATCTGTGCCTTGCCACAATTCTGTCTCTGAGCTCTTCAGGCAGTTCCTTTGACCTCATGATTCTCATTTGCTCTGACATGCACTGTGAGCTGTAAGGTCTTATATAGACAGGTGTGTGGCTTTCCTAATCAAGTCCAATCAGTATAATCAAACACAGCTGGACTCAAATGAAGGTGTAGAACCATCTCAAGGATGATCAGAAGAAATAGACAGCACCTGAGTTAAATATGAGTGTCACGGCAAAGGGTCTGAATACTTATGACCATGTGATATTTCAGTTTTTCTTTTTTAATAAATTTGCAAAAATTTCTACATTTCTGTTTTTTTCTGTCAAGATGGGGTGCTGAGTGTACATTACTGAGAAATAAAATGAACTTTTTTGATTTTTGGAAAATGGCTGCAATGAAACAAAGAATGAAAAATTTAAAGGGGTCTGAATACTTTCCGTACCCACTGTATATATGAAATAACCAGCCTTAATCTTATTACATGTCATTTAGGGCTGATGAATATTGAAAATGGCAAAATACCCAAGTGCAATGTCCAAAACATTTTTTTTTTTTTAAATAATGCATTGTAATGCTACAGAGAAGCCCGGGCCTACAAATCATATTCTCCAGACATAAGGAAACATCCATGTTTTGTACAGACCCCAGGAAAAACACACACCTTGTATACGTGGGATAAGTGGGTATGGATGGACCCTTCCCATTAGCATTGACTGATGTCGCAATATCTATCAATAATATATTTTTTTGCATTTTATTCAGCCCTAAATCAAACTTAAAAGGGTGGGATGGAGCCAATCCCAGCTGACATTGGCGAGAGGCGGGTACTCCCTGGACAGGTCGCCAGTCCATCATAGGGCTTCAGGTGGTTTTATCATAGCAGTCCAACACCGCCCAAATTAAATTTACATTTGAGAAGATGTAATCAGAAAATACTTGACATTTTTTACCTGATAAATGATTGAGATTATTACTAATTTTGATAAGTTTAATAAAATTGTTTACAAACTGTAGGATGTGCTTAAAAAATAAGCAGAACACCACCAGCAGCTGTACATTTAAAATTGGCAGTTACTTTGAAATAAGAAACTTTACTAACATGCGCATAATAGACAAATGTGGAAACTTAAACTCCATATTTGATAATTGAACCACTCAGTTCTCAACCATGGGCGTTAATCTGCCACTGTAATGACCTCCAGCCGCTCCCCCCCCCCCCCCCCCCCCATGTTGGATTCTGCTAAATGAGATACTTACTCTGTTTTACAGAAAATCCAGACGCCCCACCAGTGCACCATGTGTGAAACTTCTCGACCGATGTCGGAAATGGTTCATCATAAAAGTGATGAGAACACAGTGGAGCTTTTCTGCACTCGTACCTGTGTGACGTCTTACACATTACGGCCCGCAATCGTATACAAACTTCAAGGTACGGGGCAATAAGTTTGTCAAGATGGCTTTTTTTTTTTTTTGGTTGATGTCTCTCTCTCTTCCTCCTCTGTATTCAGACGGAAAATAACACTTCATTAAAAACACACAGGGCTGTGTTGTTGTGGGTGGGTTGCTGCAAGTACCACTGAGACACTAAAATATGATCCAGAAAGTTCAGACTGAGTAACACATCTGTGAATTTTAATGCTTATCAGACAGCAGTTAATAATGTTATGAAAATGATTTTAAAGTTTCCTTAAAGCTCTAATGGTGTGAAGGCTTTTAGGCCATTTTTGGAAAATGTTCAGTTGTGAGGACTTGTAGATTTATCCAAATGTAGAGGGGATGCTGAATTGTTGGGCAGATTCAGTTCTGGGAAACATTGGATTATGTTTGCATTCTTTATGTGACTATCTACTATCTCAGCTGTATATGTCTTTTCCGTGTTTTACATGAGAAGAATCTCTGTGTTGCTGGACCATTCAGGAACTTGACAGGATGTACTTTGGTTTGCTTCTTTATGTCACAGAGAGGGATGGAGCGGACTCTGTTGAAGTGGAAGGGTGTGTTTGAATGAAGGTTTTGATTTGTGTGTAGGTTCTAAGATCTATTTTGATTTTTGTCTCTTGACTAATAGGTAAACAAATACAGTTTATATTACAGACTAATACACATGTATTTCACACGGCTTGTAGTGGCTGAATCCAAATGGAAGATGTTCTGTAGCGTCTTGACCAACACTTGAAGCTGAAGATGAAATTAAAGTTTATCGTGGCATCTCTAACATCTGCTGCTGATAGAGAATTAAGGTTATACCTACTGCCTCTTATGCTGCCTGCACCACATTTAACAGTGTATCCCCACCCTATCTACCAGCAGCCATTCCTCACACCACCTGACATGCCTTAAAATAGATATTCTGCAGTTTGACACAGATTGCAACCGTTTTATTCGACCCAGCTCGTTCAGTGTGACATGACATGGAGATTGTTATCACACAGCTTGTTTGATTTCTCTGTCCTTGCTCAAGAGGTCGGCAGTCCCACATTAGGTTCAAAAAAGTTAAAACTGCTGACTCACTGATTAAAACTTTACAAATGTATTAATTCACTGTGTTGTAGGGATGATTAATCGGGAATATGCATGTTGTTTTGTGATTGGACTGCAGCAATGCAGGGGAAATGTTTCCTTTGCAAATACTGTACATTAACAATTACAATGTCCTTGTATCTGCTTACAACTACGTAATGGTGTATTATAAACTATTTAATAAATGTTTATGTTTGTACATGTTAATGTGTTTAACAGTTTGCAGTAAACCTAATCACATGTTTGTGATTTCTCCCTTCAGGAAAGAAAGGCTCAGATGGGTTGAAGAAGAAGAAATACAAGCAATCAAATGCGACATTGATTATTGTAAGTATCTTTCATACATTAAATAAAATTCAGAGCGCGACAACACTGTGCGCGTAACAATACACCTAAATAAATAAGTAGCTAGATAATGATACAGATGCCATTGCTATCATGTTTTGTTAAAGCTTTCATTCTGAGGCACAGCAGGAAAGCACCAAGAAACAACACTTGGTCTGATTTGATCCTTGCTAAACAGGGTTACACGTGAGTCCAGCAACAACTTCTAATCACTGTACCATTACTGTGCATTCATCCCACAGAAGGATGCAAAGACCACTTCAGACTCCGCTGTAAATGAAAATGACGCATCTGCCGCTGATTCGGACACACCAACTCTGATCATTACAGACTCGTGTGTTCTCTGTTGCCACTGTGGAAAGAAACTGCCGAAAGGACAGACTCTTTACCAGCCGCAGAACTCCCCGGAGGTTTTTTGCTCATCCTCTTGCCTCTCTGAAAGGCATCCCAGCATCAAAGTAGCCACCAAGAACTGCTACAACTGCTTTCAGTAAGTCCATCATATTTTCTATCAAATGTCGTCTGGATGTCACCTCTCTTCCTTTTGTTGCAGGATTATTTGTGTTTGTGCATTTGTATGAAAGACACAGAGAGCGAGAAAGATTGAGTCAAGAGTGAATCAATCCAAAATTTAGATAATTATGTTCCAATTATTAGCAAAGTTATAATAAATAATTTTGACTGTCAGTTAATTGTTTAACGTTCCTGTGTTCCAGCTACTCGTGGGAGTTTGCTGCTTTTCTTTGTCTTGTGTGATCATGAACTGAAAATCTTTAGGGTTTGGTGTGCTGATTGGATAAAACAAGCAATTTGATGACCTCACCTTGAGCTTAAAGCTTAAAGAAATTGTGATCGCCATTTTTCACTATTTCCTGAACAATTAATAGAGAAAGTGATCATAACAGATAATTGCTTGCAGCCCTAAAATTTTGTGATGCTGTTAAACACCAGCAAAACTGTGACTATTTCCTCACTCCAAAACAAGAATTATTGTAGATTTCTGAGACATTTAGTTTCCTGCAGGTCAAGTAATGCAAATGCTACATTAAATTCAGGAGATTTGAAGGACTGCTGCCAAAGATCTTCATCCATTCTTTGAAAAACCGAGGTCTCTATGTTGCAACAAAGACCTTTGCTGCGTTGCAACAAAGGTTGGAGGACCTGTACAGCAGACAAAATTTTTCATATCGGCGAATATCCTCTTGCTCTTTTTCCTTCAGGGTGATAATGCGGCCTCACAACATAATCCTCGCTCCGGTTGATGATTCGGGAACTATGAAGGAATTATGCAGCAACACCTGCCTCTCTTCTGTCAACTCAAAGAGGAAAATTACTGCCCCACAACCCCCACCTCTAACAGGACCTCGGTCAGAGTGCAGGATGTGCGCCAAATTCTGCTTTGTAAGGAAACAAATAAATCAACTCTTGACTTTTAGTTAGATCTGTTTTGATATATTACAATTGGGATTATGCAGTTCTTTGATGATGCAATGTGATATGATATTTAAAGGACAAGTCTGGCTGCTTTTGTTGTTGAACAGTGAAACAATTGTTTGTACAGTCAGTTATAGATCTTTAGAGCAATGTCCCTGCATGAAAATGATCTAGTAAGCAAATGCCACTGATGAGTTTTTAAAGGTGAGGTCGAAAGCACAGAGGAAAAAGCTATATCATGCTATACTTGTAAGTAGGCTCAATTAATTTCGTTTTCATTGGATAATTTGAATAAAAATATCACTAGCTTTATCCTTTTAAAATAATCACCACAAATGTGAAAGGAACATATATTTAATTCTCTATTTATAATAATTAACCTGTAGTTAACAAACACATGCTCATTTCTCATCCACAGTGCAAATTCAAGCTGAACCTGGATGGCTTAATGTACAGAATATGCAGCGACGCCTGCTTCATCAACTACCACAAAGTCAACAACTTGCCCCTGTTTGCTTGTGACGTCTGCAGCTCCGTCTGCCACTACAAACGGTTCATGCTGAAGATGGATGACGCCAGTAAAACCATCTGCAGTGCAGAATGTCTGGTCAAGTTTAAAGAGGTGAAGAAATCAAATGTCAAAATCATTTAAAGTCACTCATTTGACAAGAAGAGTAAATATTAAGGAACCAGTGTTGGAATAAGTTTCACATTAGCACATTATTACACAGTGCTGCAGACCATGCATACTACTAAGCTATAAATTCACTCAGCACAGACTGTCCAATATAAAACTTATTTCCTTATACACTGCACAATTTTGTTGTTTTGCAGTTTTGTAATGATGGCAGATGGCACGTTAGGATGAGGAATATGACAAATATTGCTCGGGGGGAGAAGAATTGGTAAATAAATAAATGTATGCCAGGACCAAAAAATTTAATCAAATTAAAATAAAATGAGCAAGTAAAGATGATTAGAAAATCATAATTATTTGACCAACAATATTATTTACTGGTATATTCATTTATATTTTGACTAGTGGTATAATCTTTTACTACATTTTTGAGGTTATTTTAGTTTACAGAAAAAATACTTATGAATTAAGAAGCATTTTAATATTTGACAAAACACCTTTGAAGCTTAAACAGCTAACTAACAATTAAATCATTTATTTTCTTAGAGATTTAGCCAAACGCTCATATCACGATTATTTGAACCTGTCTGATCAGCAAATCGTTTTTCGTGCCTCACATCGTTTCTCTGCTGTTTGTTTTATAACTCTGCAGAAAATTGAGACACCTCAGCTGTGCCCCATGTGCCAGACGTCCCATCAGATGTCAGACATGGTTGAAAATGAAAACGACGAGGGCAGTTTGGACTTCTTCTGTAGCAACAGATGTATGGTGGTACACAAGGCTCAATCGTTAACCGTTTCAGGTACTGCAGTCTTCTTTTTTCATTAAAAAGGATCTCTTCCCTTCTACTTTCACTCTCCTCTGCCTTTATTTACATTGCCTAGGTACTTTGCACTGAATTATACAATTCAGTTTGAACAAAGAATGGTCACATTTGGCTGCCTCATTTACTCAAACAACAAAGTTCACTGAATATAATCACTTCATTGAGTTAGAGCATCTACTCTACCCTTGAGAATGTGTTTCTAGTGTTTACAGGCACATCTCTCTATGTAGACCATTATTGTGTTTTAAATCCATTACCATTTGACACATTTCCATCATCATAGGAAGGAACTGCCCATCATCCAAAGAAAATGATGTTAAAGAAGTGAAGCCACCACTACCAAATTTGGACTTTGTGAGTATTGTAATACATTCAATGGATTCAAGGCATGCCTTTAAACCACATTTCCTTGTTTGAGCAGCCACAGCATTTTTTTGTTGTGATAGGTGTGATGCACAATATAGCAATAACAATAATAAGTAATAATACTAGAAAGTTGGACTAACTAATAGTATTTCTTCTCTTGGTGAGTTGCAGTGTGTACACGTAAGACAGTAGATTTGCTAAATTGAACTCCAGTTAGAATCGTCACAATTCTCCACACAGACTTCTCTGTTGTATATGTTACACAACTGATCAGTATCTCTCTGCACTCCTCATCAAGATAAAAGAAGAGCCCATTGATGAGGAGTACAATCAGAATCTGTCATCCTCCATATCCACAGAAAACATCAAGGACGAGCCTAATAGGGTGAAGGTAGGAGACAAGCCAGCAGAGCATGTATTTCATTTATACGTCGTTAAAGTTAAAAGTTGAGCATTGAAAATAATACCTACGTAAAAGTATGTATGTATAATGAACAAAATTAACTTGAAGTATCAAAAGTAAAGTGCACATAATGCCAAATGGCTCTTTTTTGATGGTCGTTTAGGTTGATCAACACTATCTTGTTGCTGCTGTTTACGTTCTCACTGACGCAGATTAAAAAATTGACTGTAGAATTATTTCCTGTGTATATGTGTGCATGTATATTCTATAAACAACTGGTCTATATTGCTTTATTTTTGTTAGTGTCTACTAATATATTGTAACTATCTGTTAAGTTCTGTGTGTGCAGCATAAAGATACAAAAATATTAATTTGTCATATAATGATAAATAAATTGCCTACAGATGGAGATAACGCAAAAGAATTTATGTCTGTAATTGAATCTCTAAAACCTTGCTTTACATTGCGGGAAAAATATTTCATTTAAGTCAGCTTTTTTAGAAATGTACGGTATGTCTGCATCTTGAAAGAAGTAAGAATAACTGCTTAAGGTACTAGAGTTATGAAAAAGAGTTTAAAAAATAAACAAGATGATTTGCATTGAACGTCTTAAAATATTAATACACTGGTCGGTCAGATACTTTAACTTGAGTCTAAAATTACTTTATAAAGAAGAGTTTTTTTTCCATTGAACAATAGAACATGTTTTAAAAGCTTAACATTTGTTTGTTCATTTTAAAATTGTGCAAAATAACAACAGTGGTCAAATAAATGTAATGGATCAAAAATACAACATATCCCCTGGAAATATAGTGGAGTATAAATAGATAGGTGAATAAAATACAAATACTTAAGGAAAGGTTCCTTTTTTTACCTCAAGTACAATACTTAAAAGCACTTTGTTGCATTCCACAATTAGAAATCTATGTAACTGTCACTGCATTATCTTACTCTTTTGTTTATGACAGGAGGAATTGAAGATTGGTTCAGTCTTTTCCTTGAAGGGAGACACACTCTCCCACTCGCCCACTCTCACCCACATGGATTTGCCTGCGTCTTGCTCCAGCTGCAAAAAGGTCCTGATGGACGGAGAGACAGTTTATCAGAGGAAGCTCCATGCAGATATATTCTGCTCCACCCCATGCCTTTTGAAATTTTACCAAATTAAACAAGTTAGGAAGACCTGCCACTTCTGCCTTCAGTGAGTCATACAGTAGTTTATTTTCACCATTTCTTCTTCTCATCTCACTTACTTTCAAATGCTCTTCAGCTAAAGCCATCTCAGCTGTTTCTACACATTTTAGCACAGAGATTGTGTATTTCAAACTGATCTCATCTTTCCTCGTTCTCTCAGGGCAATAACAAAGAATGAGGACGTCCTTCCGGCCCCGGTGGATACTGACGGCACAATGAAGGATTTCTGCAGCCAGACCTGCCTGTCCTCCTTCAACTACAAGAGAATCATGTCCACCAAAATTCCCATCGCACCAGTCGCGTCACAGTCACAATGCAGCATGTGCAGCAGATATTGCATTGTAAGAGATGAGGGAACAGATTCCAAAAGCTCAAAAAGTTATATTTCTGAATTGTAATAATGAAGATCACTGCCTGTTATAAGAATGATCTTATAAACTGTGTGTTTTAAAATAACCACAACCACATTCTGATTATGAGTCTACATTTTTCATCAATTACTTTTTAAAGATAAATAAAATCTTCGTCTCCCTTATAAACATTTCAACTCACTACCTCTTTTTTTTTTCCAGGTTCCTGTAAATTGGAATGAATATGAATTATGTTTGACAAACTGTTTATCCTCCTGCAGAGCAAACATGAAATCATACAGCAGGACGTCGTTCATAAGATCTGCAGTGATCCCTGTTTTCTCCGCTTCTGCAACATGAACAACCTGTCAGTCTGTGAGAACTGTCGCTCCAGCAGCAACAGACCCCTCAGTCTCAAGATGGAAGATGGCAGAAAGAAACTCTGCAATGCAGAGTGTCTGGCTCAGTTCAAGCGGGTAACAAAAACATTTTTCAGATGTCAAAGATGATCGAGAAAGAGCTGTACATTTTGGCCATTTTTCTAAAGCTATGGATCCACTTTTAAAGGCTTGTAGCGGAGTGTAGATTTTTTTTATTTGCTTTTAAAAGGGAATGAAACAGTTATTTAAGTAGAAGGTTGTGGGGGAAAAAAACACTAGTCTATGCTAAGCAAAATAAAGATACCGTGAGGATATAACAAAAAGAAACCAAATAAAAAGGGAAAAACATTTATGTGTTCATGTGCTATTTTTGTTTTCAGAAAATCACAACACCACAGCCGTGTGCCATGTGCTGCACTTCCCATTTAATGTCCGACATGGTTGAAAACAAAAACGGTGACGGCACAGTGGAGCTCTTCTGTTCGAGCAGTTGTGTTATGGCATCCAAGATCCAGGCTGTCAGTGCATCAGGTATTGGACCGTAACAAGACGGCTGCTCTGTCTTTGTCCTTCCTTCTCTTGCTCTTTCTGTCTACAAAAACATTCAAGCTCTTAGTAAATCTGTCATAATTGTTTCTATCATAAAACCTCATTTTCTCCACAGGTATTCCATTGAATTGTGACAACAACTGTGGTAAGACTACATTACCAGCCTGCCACCTCGCCATGTCAGATGCGTCCATCAGAAACTTTTGCACTCTCACCTGTGCCATGGCGTTTAAGGTAATAAACCTCTATATAAAAAGACAATAATTATATCACAATCCCACTTTGATATCTGATCTAAACAAAACTGTTGTTAATACACTCCCCTAGTTAATAGGCAACTAAATACATACAAACTAAATTTAAATATTGACCAAATATAATAGGATTACTAAATCTATAATCACCTGCAGTGCTAATTTAAATAAGAAACAGACGTTTCAAAAACTTCTTAAAGATATCTACTAAACCAAAACAACTTTATGTACAACAACACCGTAATGCACAGTGTTTCTTTCTAAGGTGTAAAGACAACTCACTAAGCTCATCAGTAAGCTTCAAGTCCTCTGCTAGGTGGGAATCAAACAAACAACCTTTAAATCCACCTGGATCTTTTCTTATCCGACATAAACAGTACAATTTCTGCAATTACTTTAAAATTCCCATACAACAGTTAAATGACTTGGGTGTTTTAGCCTCACTCTCACTCTCTCTCACTCTCTCTCTCTCTTTTTTGTGCCACAGGAGTCCCAGAAAGACATGAAGTCTGCCACTAGCCCAACAGGAGCCCCCGACCAAACCCAGTGTGATTTCCTCAAACCACCAGGGAAACTGCCGTGCGCTCAGTGTCGACGCATCATAAAAGCTGCGCCCCAAGTCGTACAGAAAAAGGTGGGGTCTGTTTTTAAAGCTAGAATTGGCAACTCAAGCAAAAAGCTATCAGGATGTGATGATGTAACATTCAAAGAAGCAGGTCTGTCAACTAGCTGGGAAGGTCTGTGTCCCCCCCCCTTCTTCAGTACCCTTGAGTGAATCTTGTAAATCCCAGCTGATCTAATTGTTTGTCATATTATGTCCGTTGATATTCAGTTTTATTTTGACAGTGTTGACCTACCAGCTGTAAACCTCACGCTTAAATGGTAATATACACGAAGACATTTGTGTGAATGTGTTTGTAAAAATACACTGTGTGTGTGTGTGTTTGTGCGCGCGCAGGGCAAAATGAATTTTGTGTGTAGCCTGGCCTGTTCTCAAGAGTTTAAGAGGGTCAACAACATCATGGGCAAGTGTGAATATTGTAAGAATGAAAGGATCATCACAGACGCCAAGAGGGTCGACGGCAAAGACTGCTACTTCTGCAGTGACGGTAAGAGGACACGTGTATAATGTAGGATAGTGTATCCTAGTTTGTGTTGTGCACTTTTGATCAGTTACTGTAAATAATATTTGGAGAAAAAGAGTCAATCCTTGAGCCTCTCCTTTTTCTCCTCCCAGGCTGTAAGATGCTCTTTCAACATGATCTGGAAAAGCAGTGGGGGGAACACTGTAGCTCGTGTGCCTACTGCCTCTCCATCTCTCAGACGGTGGTGACGGCACAGTTTAAAGGCACTAAAGAGGAGTTCTGCTCTGAAGAGTGTAGCTCAAATTACCAAATGCTCTTCTGCCATGTAAGTAGGAGGTGGAAGTTCACCCACTGCACGAATTACCTGTCCATTGTAGAGTTTGTCTTTTTTGGACTATATATTATCCTTAACTCCATATTATAATCTGAAATTGATGATAACGAAGGGCTCTGTACTGACTACACATTTACTCTCTGCTTTCTCTCAGATTGCCAAGTGTGACACCTGTGGTCACGAAGGGAAACTGAGGCAGAGTCTTCCCATGCTGGGAGAGGTCAAACACTTCTGTGACCTGAAATGTCTCCTACATTTCTGCAACAAAAAGGTCCAGATGGTCAACGCTGGTATGTGTCGTTGTTGCCATTTGATGTTTTATTTGCCTGTTTCATTGCGTACAACCTTGTTTAAGTTTGAGCTGGATTTTTGACACTTATTGGATTTCAGCCTTGTTGGGACCTTAATGCATCCTGGAAGCACCTGGGACCAGAAATAGTTGTAATTCTGATGTGCTGCATCATTTTAAACCCATGTAGCAAGCTAAGCATGTTGTTAATTATCCAGCACTTTCCTGTGGGAGCAATGCGTAACAGTGCAGTTAGTATGTCTAGTAAAGACCTGCTGTACAGAGAAATTCACTGCTCACGGAAGCGACTAACATATGTACTGTACATTTACATGTAACATTCCTAAACCTGCCGTGACGAACTTTGTCTCCCCCGTCTGGCAGTGAGAGTAATAAATTCTGTCAATACAGATACATTTTCACAGTTCCTAGACAATAATATCTTGTTTAGGTAGAGTAAATAGAACGACTATAGCCTAAAACGTTTTACATATACCAACCTGTCCAAGAGCAGAAACACTACATCCATGTCTGCCCTCAGTCTCTTAGTTCTCCTGCAAGGAAAAGTTACACCAATGTTTGTTTGTTTTTTGTCCTCTTCATTGATTGCTTCTTTTTTTTTTTTTTTTTTACTATAATCCTTCCTCTGAGTGCAGTTCCTGTTTTTATTATCTGGAGCATCAGAAACTCTTGGACCCTTCTTTTTCTGCCATAGGTCCGTCTTCCTGAAGACACCTCTAGTTTGACTTTTGTTTTTACGTACTGTATGAAATGTTATGAGATCAATCTGTTTCCTGCCAACAGTCTCTTCACCTCCTGGATCTGCAGGCGCAACAGAGTCCTCCCCGGTCATCGCTAACGTTATCTCACTTGCTGGTGCTTTGGCCAGGCAGCCCAGTGCCTCTGCCAGCTCTGCACAGCATGGTACACACACACACACACAGACATTATGGATGCACATCCTGTAGAATAGCTATTAACTGTGAGAAATGAAGATGCTTCATATACTTTGGTTCAGTTGCCGTGAATATTTGTGTTCTTCTGACTCAAACTGACCATTTCTTCACAGTTTCTCTCCCAGACATTCAAACAAAGGTTGTTGGACATGTAAGCACTACCCTTTGTTTTTATCAGAATTATTTCAAAAACTAACTCTTGTTTTTTGACCACATATTTTAGATAGCCAAGATATAACCTTAACCACAACAACCAGCTGTTAACATCTCTCTCTATATAGTAAATGCAGATTATTCTGATGTTTGAATTATTGTTGTTGAACAACAAACAAACAAAATACTTTTCTTTTAGGCCAGTATTCAAACAGTGCCCAAGGAACTGAAGAACAAGTCCATGCTTTGCACACCGCTGGTTCACAACAAAGGAGTCTCCTGTACAACACAGACTGTCGACACAGAAGCACAGACAGGTAAAATTTACTCCCAGGATTTTTAAATGCTCACCGAATTAACTTTTTATTTTTTATGATGCACTTACAAAAGAATGTTGAGGTTCACACCTGTGTTTGGTTTTGATTTTTCCAAATGTCAGCCAATACGCTAAAACTGTGTATGAGACAATTTCCACATTAGGCTAAAACATGTCTTTGCTCAGGGTTAATATGTAAATACGAAGGTGTACAAACATAGCCTCTTTTCAGAATTAAGAGTTTTGATGTTTCTTTTTACTTCTTCTGTTGTGTGCAGACAACTTTGAACCCACAGTCATAGTCCTGCCTGTACCGGTGCCGATGTATGTCCCTTTGCCTATGAACATGTACAGCCAGTACACACCAAAGCCAGTGGGCCTGCCCTTACCGGTATGTGAAACATACAGATATCAAAAATCAAGGCTTTACAATGCAAGAAAAGTCATTCTTTAAATTTTCTGGTTTTGTTAAATGTTGCTTTAGTTAAAATGTTCGTAACCTGTTTCTGTTTTCGTGTTGTTCTCATCTAACAGAAAAGAGCCTCACTATTTTCTGCACTTAACATATTCGGAACAAACAATGATAATTTCTGGAAAACACTTTCACAGACTTACAGCATGTGCCATCTTGTTTTTCATTTGATTTTGTCGGATTACTTGCAGTGGTTGGGTCTAATTTAATTCACACTGATTAATTTTGTCTCTGTTACACACCAAAATCAGGTGACATTAAAACACCACTGCAAAAATACAAATATCTTTTATCTTTCCTTGTCCCCAGTTTGAGATTTTAAATTATGGCATTTAAAAGTTTGTTTGAAAAATTCTCCTCAAACTGGGTTTTAAAGGGGTTAGATTTGGGCTCATAGGTGTCCTTCTGACCGAGCCGTTAAAGACGCACACCGTGCGACACCAACATTCTCGGTCTGAGTTCAGCCACGAACCTGAGCCACAAGTTGTTCCCGCTCACCTTTTGGATATTTTCTGTACTGTCAAAGTAAATGCTAAATGTCCTAATAATAATTACGTGTTGTGAAGCAGCACAGCCTGCAGGTGTCACTATCAGATCTTACAGACTCCGTCTTCCCAAAACTGTCCCTGCTGCAGCTTCCTGTACCCATTTTTCTCCCCGTGACGCCAGACAACGCTGACCCAACTGTGAAATCCATGAAGGAGAGCATCCAGCCTGACCCTATCAAGGGAGAGCTCAACTTAAAGTCTGAGAAGAAGAAAACGCAAGATAAGAGGAACGAGAGCGAAGACAGGCAAAAGGAGAGAGTGGTGACAAAAGAGGGACAAAGACAAGAAATTCGCACTCCAAAGGGTAAGACATCTGATGAACATGAAGTGATGATACTGTTAAGATGGCACTTGAGGGAGGAAGGAAAAAGCTGGAAACTGTTCCAGCTCTTTAGTCACTCCTTATGGTTGTCTCTCAAGAGTTCAGGCTGATGTAAAGTTTTAGGGTTGCCATGTTGCAAGCCTCTGCACAAATGTGCATTTTATTAATAAAACATGCAGACTGTGAAAAGCCTTTTGAAGTTCTTGTTGCATTGCTGTGCTCTGTACAGACAGATAAAGCACAAGTAGCAGGTTTTCTAAAGTATTCCTCTTAAACAATCGTTATTTTGTCACTGAGCACAACAGGTACATACTTTCGCAAACATTTCCTCAAAGTACAGGATTAGCCGAAAATCACACTTTTTATTTTATGTATTTGGAAGGGATTAAATGGGTGGCATGGTTCATCCTCAACTTATATCATCATCATTATTTTCAGAGCACACCATTAACTATAGTGACCTTGATAAAGATCGTGAGGCCACTCTGAACAGCCGGGAAGACTCGCACAACCATGAAAACCACCTCCCGTTTTAGAAGTGGGAATGCCCGTTGAGCCTCAGCCTGAGATCCTACCTCCTGCTCCTCCTCTTGCTCTGGAGATGAGAGAGGAACCCCAGAGCCCACCTAACCCTGCACCGGCACCTCCTCTAGTACAACAACCTGTGGGGAAAGTCCACAACAAGAGAAGGGTAACAATCCACCTGAGAAATGAATTTAGAAGCTGTGGTATCATCCTACTGTGGTGTAATCTTGTTTCCCTCTCTATCCAAGCTGCAACAGTTTACCAAGGCGGCTAAAAAGAAGACATCTCAAAGAGGCTTTTCCAAGACCGTATCCAGGAAGCACCACAAACTGAATAGCCAAAGTGGAATTGACGCCTGGAAGAGATGGGTACAATGGAGGAAATCACAAACCAACCTGGACTTTGTTTCCTGTATGTTTTTCTTCTCTTTTTATTTATTTATTTATTTTTTTACAATTAGATTTTAAGTAATCTTATGTTTAGAAAACTTAACAAACGCATGTTTAAAAAGGTGTTTACATTTGTTGTTTTGGAAAGGTCCTTTTGGTATTTAAAAGATAAAACTAATTGCAATGACAGAATGTAATGGATGCTGTATGGTTTCAGTTTTAGCCTGATTGGGCCACAAATGATAATATATTTGTATTTCATAAATGTACATCTGTATTTCAAATCTTCATCTAATTAACCTGCACAGTTGCAGTACAACAATCAACACCAATCATCTTGTTGTTGACATTATATCCAAGCCGACTTTATACCATTTAAATGAATAATGAGCTCTGGTAGCCGAATTATACTTTATACTGCATTTATATGCATATAACCACAGCGTCCCTAGTTTTAGCTGTTGTTACCATGTTGTTGTGCGAACAAATACAACATGGCTGACCCATCCTCCGACACGTCCTCCTGACTCTTTGCTTCTGTTATTAGCACATGCCGTGACATTAAAGGAGGATGTTCTTCACTGCTCTGCTGCCGAGCTGAGCAGCGGCCTTTGTTGTTTCATCACTGAGGTGAAACAACCCGATGGAGAGCCGTACTCCCCTGACGGCCTGTTCTACCTCTGTCTCGGTATACAAAAGGCAAGACGAGCTACTCTGCACACACAGCACAATGTCTCCAAATCACCAGACTTTCATAAATGTGAAGTGTGCGGACATGTTTGTACCGTGGACTAGCTGGTAAAACACAACCTGTACATAACTAGACTTATCCTGTTTAAGAAAACTGAGACACAGTGGGTTACCCAGATTTAAGAAGATCTGATAACTAATTAGGTCTTTTTGCAGTGTGGTCTTGCTTCTGATTCTAACTTTTGTAAATGATCTACATTATTCATGTATCTTTTGCATTACTCTATTTTACAACATTAAACTTTTTCTGATTCTGAACATTATGCTGGAGATTCGTAGTCCACGAGTGCCTTAACTCCCAATACAACGGCACTCTGAAAGTTTTATAAACGTTCCTCACATCAGCTTGTTTCTTTAATCTACCAGCACTATCTCTGGGCATATGCAGAATATTCTTTTGATTTCATGTGATTATTGTGCTGATTCTATGAACACTGGCACACGATAATTTTCCAAAATCCAATTCACTGTATTGTCACTTGCTGCTTGCTGAACAAGGGCGTGATTTGAGTCACACCCTATATTGTACTGCTTCTGCAGCAACAGCGCCCTCTGCTGGAAGCATCCATGCACACTTATTGCCATGCAATCTGCAGAGCATACAGCTTCAGAAATCATTTGGACAACCGTGTAGATCATCCCACAGTTCAGGTTTTGTCTGACTTGTTGTTTCTCTTTAGTACCTGTTTGGGAACAGTCGTATGGAGAACATATTCAGTGATCAGATGTACAACAAGTTTTCCACTGAGTTCACCAAGATCCTGAAAGGTTTCAAACCCTCAATCGCAGCCAGCGGTGAGTCGTTGTCTTATTTTTTTAATTAATTTTTTTTTTCCTGACTGATCAACTTGGATTAACCATATTTGTAACCGGCCCTCTCCCTCTCTGCAGGTTACATCCATTCCCATGTGGAGGAGGAGTTCCTGTGGGACTGTAAACAGTTGGGGGCGTACTCACCCATTGTCCTCCTCAACAGTCTGCTCTTTTTCTGCTGCAAGTACTTTGGCTTCACCACGGTGGAGCAGCACCGCCAGCTGTCCTTCGCCCACATCGTGAACTGCAACAAAACCAACGAGAATAACACCAAGACCACTTTCCTGCGCTTCTGCCGATCAATATCAATAAACGAGTCAGGTACAATCAAGGCTCAGGGTCAAAATCAAGTACCTGATTTTATTAAAACAATATTGATTTAGGATTCAAAAGTACTTTAAACTTCTTCTCACATTGGACTTTTGAGCTGCTGCAACAAGCGAATATCCCAGTGTGGTATCGATAAAATTCACCTTCTCTTATTACAGTTTGATTATTTCAGTGAGGTTTTGTGCAGTTGTTGTAAATGTAAGTCCGATGTTTTGTTTAAAAGAAGTTGGCATGTACAAATTAAGTTAAGATTAAAATAATTGACCTCATCATATATTTTGTCCTTTTTCCACAGCATCTTAAGTTATAAAAGCTGGAATGTGTAAAAACGCTGTCGCATGCACGTTTGTGGTCACTCACAGCAGGAGTGTGTGTGTGTGTGTGTGTGTGTGTGTGTGTGTATTCGTTAGATGCAGACGGCGTCCCAGCTAAGAAGCGTAAGAAACGTGAGAGTAAAGAGGAAGTGCTGGAGATGACGGAGAACACGGAGAACTTTCTCCGCTGTCCAGTCAGACTCTACGAGTTCTACCTCTCCAAGTGGTAAGTCTCTCTCTCTCTCTCTCTCTCTCTCTCTCTCTCTCTCTCTCTCTCTCTCTCTCTCTCTCTCTCTCTCTCTCTCTCTCTCTCTCTCTCTCTCTCTCTCTCTCTCTCTCTCTCTCTCTCTCTCTCTCTCTCTCTCTCTCTCTCTCTCTCTCTCTCTCTCTATCTTAAATTTTATTTATTTTAGTTGACCATTTTATCTACTGTATTTCTGTTTCTTCTTCTCCTCCCTGTTGATGTGATGTTGTGATTTTACATGTTTAAACGTGCGGTAACTGAGTTTTTGGGCACTTGGTGCTCAGTGATGGCTTGAAACACAAAACTTACTTACACCCAGCAGACAGAGAGCAATGATTCATTTAAAGTTTTGTTTATGGCAACCTGATAAAGTCCAAAATTCACAAGAATTATATACAAAGAATGAACAGTAAGTCATATTTGCAGTGTACAGGTGTGAAATTTCAGTCTTAAAAGTTGTGTAGGAAAACTAAAAGACCTTACAAGTTAGGCAGCAGTTGCTCCAGGATTAAACCTAATGGTGCTTTCAGACCAAAAGCGAAGCAAGCGTTCGGGGAGGTGAGTTTACATACAAAGTCAATGCAAAGAAGCGTATAGCCGCGATTTCCTGTCGGACAACGCGAAGCGACGCAAAGGAACTCAAGCGAGAAAGTCACATGACGCTGAGTCAACGGCTTCAGAGCGTTGTGTGGAGAGGGCCAGGCAGAGCGGGAGATTTAAAATCTTCTGGCTGGCGGAGAGCTGCTAAACTTGGGGGAGAGGAGCAGGGAGCAGCGCTCCAGCTTTTGGACAAATAAACGCCCGTAGTCGGACTGGATTCTGCTCTAACAACTACGCCGTTTGCTCGCAGGAGGAGCTCGGAGTAAACTGCTTTTATTAGCTTTTTACTTGAGTTTTTGGGATTACAACGTTGATTTATCTTCACTCGAGCTTCTCAACAGCAAGATTCCGTGCACATCCGGTTCCAGTGTTGTTAGCGTCGTTAGCGAATAGAGCTGTTGACTAAGCTACCTTACAACTGTATGTGAGTAACATAGTAGTAAATGGTAAAATAAAACGTTTAACCCACCTTTATACACTTAACAGGTACCATTAAAGAGCTGTTTTTTGTCTCCTCCATCATGGAAATACTAGCTGCTAAATGCTCCTCTGTGTTCACCAGCAGGTTGAGATTTTTCACTGAAATACAGCTGCCTTCTGTAAACAGTAGCTGTGTTTCCATCAAAAAACTGTGCGTTCACCTCTTAAAGGTCCTTTTAGATACTTCGCTCTGCACACTGATCAAACGGGGTTATTACAGCATATTTTTGCTGAGTCTCAATGAATGCTACTTCTAGTGAGTGTAACAAAATATTAACGACTCTAAACGTTCATAAAATAAATACTTCGAATCATTTATCACGAACCCCACAAAGGATATTATCTTGGCAGGCATGCAAAACACCTGATATTCCCGTAACGTGTGGAGACATGGCTGGTAGCAACTTGCCGCTTGAAACACATTTCTGAAGACCTCTCTCCATTTTTCTCAAATCAGTTCCCATCAGGTTTTGTTTATGGTTTGGAACCCACGTCTTGTTTATTACAGCCATGTGTAACGTCAACGTAACGACGCTTGCTGTAGCCTGGTTTATTCGCTCCAAACCAGCTGACGCACATATTTCGCAATTACTTGTTTTGTTTTTTGCGACATTTCAAAAGTACGTTTAAAATTCGCATGACAATTGGATGGAAACATGGCTAGCGAGACTGACAATAAGCTAAAAAGCTCTGTAGTGCTGAGGGGAATTGCAAAGTAGGATGATAATACTTTGTTCATGATATTTTCTGGTTAACAATGTAATTTTTAGTTTTGAAGCCATTTGCTAAACAAGTCCAAGTAAACATCTTATGGATCTAGGAGTAGACATCATCAGTCTCAAGGTATGTACACAGAATTAAATACCACAGAGTACATCCAGGAAGACAAGCCAGCCCACATTAGGGAAACCTAACAATGCAAGATACTTTAAATTACTCATTAACATGTTGTATATTATCACTCAGCATTAACAAGTTGATGCTGCTGTGTCTACAGACCGCTGTGGATCTGTCTGATTTTACTGAACATCAGTTTACAGGAGCTTCTGATTTTTGCCTTCTGTCAGTCTAAACTTGTTGACCATCTATATTTTCTGCTGTGTCTCCTTCCCTCCAGCTCAGAGTCGGTGAAGCAGCGCACAGACTTGTTCTACCTTCAGCCAGATCCTGGTTGTATTCCCAGCAGCCGTCTGTGGTTCTCCTCCACCCCTCTGGACAACAGCACCATGGAAGCCATGCTTGTACGAATCCTCGCCACCCGAGAGCTGCAGGGGGGAGGTGGAAGAGGTGTGGACCAGCAGGCGCCGGATGATGCGCTGTTTATATCTGAGGAGGATTCAAAATGATGGCTGGCAGTTTTGTTGTTTTTGTTGAACTGTGTTTAAATCTGGTTTATCATGTTGCATTAAAAAATTTATAAATTGTTCAGAGAAATACATTCCATCAAACAGAAATATAGAAATTAAGTCTCTCAAACTCACGTAAAATGAGTTGATCTACAAATAAGACTCAGTTCATCTGCATGTTTTGATGAAATCGTGCAAGGTTAAATGTTTTGTTAAATACTGAACGCTCACATCCATGTTCTGTGATTGCTTTAATCTCTTACATTAAATAAACAGCCTTTATTTACTTACATTACACCCATCTTATTAAGAAAATGAAGTAGCATAACACTACAGATAAGTCTAAAATATTTCTGTGAAATCATCCCTTGATGTCTCATCAACTTTAACAGATGAAGAAAAAAGTTAACTGCTCATATAAACGGTTTGTCAAGTCTTTGGTTTGTTGAATGTTGATGCTTTCAGTTCTGACCTGAGATTTAGTTATTTTTTATTTTTGATAAATAAAAATACTGAAAAGTAATCCTTATTTTACATTCCTTTTTATTACGTTATTATAGATCGATATGTCCATGCATGTCCTACAGATCTACTCGGATAAAGAAACAACTTTTGACACTGACGTGAACAGAGGAGTCTTATTAATATGAATCCTCTTAAACAACATGATGGTTCATTAAGGTTTTTTGTGTCCTCTGGGGTTCATTTTGACTGGTTTTGTCTGTATTTAAGGTCAAATGTAGAGATGCTGCCCCTTGTGGTCAGTTAATGTTTGAGGGGTTTTACTAAAACAAATTTCACCTTCCTCTTCCTATAGACACTTTCTATAGTACAAAAGCTATTTTGTAGTTTTGTTGGTGTAGCATTGTGCTGTTTTACCTTCAGACCACCATTTCCTTTGGAACTACATTTTCTCAACACAAGACATGGCTGTCTCACAGCAAGGTAAAGCACTAAAACTATTAAGCACGTAGCGTTTGCTTGAACTGAAGTTGTAGCTACACTTGGAACAGTGTATTGGTACATAATGAAGGATCTGAATATTCCCTCCAACACTTGTTACCTTTTACATATTATCTTCTCCATAATTATTGAGAACATTCAAGAAACAGCATGGTCTTTGAACTATGTTTATTGTTCAGTTTTGTTTTCTTTAACATTGCTCCACTGCTCCACATTCTGTATCCTGTTCTGAGATTGTTTAACAGGCTGAGTGAGACCTAAACTGAACTACATTTCAGACATTAGTTCCCAGTTTCTGCTTGTTTCTCACAAATTCGTCTGTGAGGCACTTTGCAGGATTTATCAAACCAACACCAAAGATGTCTTGCTGTCTCCCCCATCCTCGCACAGTCCTCCCCATCAGGATCTTCCTCTGTCCAGTTGTCTGGCTCAACACCGCTCCAAAAAGATGAACTGAGAGGGTGAGAACAGAAAGAACTGATTCAACAAAACAGGTAACTTTGATATTGGAAATGGACAAAAATGTGTTTTACAACAGTGAAACCTTGTGTACAGTGGAGAGCCGTCCACCCACAACCATGTGCCCTCTTCCTTTGAGTCTGTCAGTCCAATCCAGAACCTGTCCTCAAATAGTTCATTTTTTCTCTCACTTTCAGCTCCAGGAATGTCTGGACGGAAAGTTGATGAAAGTACAACATGTAACTTTTCACACAGATATCGTGAACGAATGCAGAAAGCTACATGAACCTGCAGCAGTGTGTTATACCTGCTCCTCTCTGCTGTCTATCTTAACCAGGTCTCCTCCTTGTTGTCGACAATCCTCTCTGCTATTTTCCCAGGGTGAACTATTGTTGGAGAAATAATAGCACTTTCCTCCATGTTGCTCCCAGCCTTCTTCACATATCGCTTCATCTTTGAAGATATCACAGCAACGACTTCAGTCAGGTGCAACAAATCACTGTTTATATTTGTGTGATTAATAAGCAGCAGGAGCTTTGAATCTGCGAGTAGCTGAGACAATCAGAGAGAGGCAACAGTTTTCTACACCAGTTATAGTATAATACTACCAATTTAACTTTTTGTATCTGTCATTCCACCAGTTTTTCTTTAATTATCATCAGAGGACAAAAACCAGTTTGAAAGGAAAACTCCATCACTTACTTATTTTTATTGCAGGAGGTTGTGGGCATGTTTGCTGCACCGTGTTGCATGGTTTTACATTACAGCGTCTCTCTGTTATTAAAGAGTATTAAAAGCTTCAAGGGTTAAAGCTTGCAAGTTTATGAGTTTTAATCTGAGAGCAGCTGAAACAATCACTATTATTCTTATTCACATTTACAAGTTAGCAAGGCAGATGACTGTAGAATCTGAGCTGCAAACCACAAAATAAATCTTTTTTCTGAACCTGAACGGAGACATAACACAAACCTTTCACATTCTAGTTAAAGTGGGAAAACAAAAAAACGCAAGATAACTTGAAAACAGATCATTATCAGAGATCAGTCATTCAACAACAAACCTTGTCACATTTTAAAGTGACCCTGCAGTGTTGTAATTTAACTGACAGTAGACTTGTAACTTGTAGACTGAAGACAAAGAGAGTTTCAAATCGTGACTGGCTTACCTGTGAGATTTCTTTTTAGAGCTTCATGCTCGTCTCTCAGTGTCTGGAAACTTTTCTTGGTTTGGATGTTAGCGAAAACTGATTGAAAAACATAAGAACAGGTCAAATGATCCTTTGGTAAATCAGTCAGTCCTTAATAATAAACAATTATAGAGAAAGAAACACCTTCTAAGATGAAGTCTGAAAATAACAAAAGTCACTGAATTTCATCTAGTTTTTCACAGCACTTCTAAAAGGGTCGATTCCACTGATGACAGACTGAACAAAATAAAAACTGGTCTGTGGTGGATTCCTTAATTTTAACTTGTTCTGTTGTAAATAAAAAGAGGAAAGAACATCTAGCCTGGATACAAAGCTATAAAGGTTGTTTTTTTGTGCACATTTGAGTGTCCAGATGCTTTTTTTCATTTAACTTCTATTGTAAAATCTCTTAACACATTGTTAAAAACACTAACTTTATACTTTTTAATAATTAATTCAGATGATAATCTGGTATTTTATTATAAAGTGAGAAAGTTCTGTTAACTTGTGTACTTTAGTTGAGGAATGAAGAGAAACTAATTTTGCATCTTTACTTTGCATTTCAAAATCTCACAACATGTATTAACTAAATTAATATAATAAAATAGATGAGTTTGTCAGTTTTAATGTGTATAATTACTTTAAAAACCTATAATCATGAGTTGTCTGAATGTCCAATGAATCATTTATCTAACTCATAAAAATAAGTTAAACAATATTCACTCATTTACATATATTTTGCTTGTTAAAGTTATGATGAAGGTCTTTTTATACATGTGTCACAGAGACGGACACTTCCTGCACCCTTTCAATATACGGTAGATTTCTGTGGCCACACAGAAGATCTAAAATTTAGTATTTATCTTAACTGTCAGGGTTACGTCTGTGTGTCTGCCTGTTTTCTGTTTTATTTAACATGGCCTATGTTTACGTGTTTTAGACACAACACAATTTTGTTCCATTAAATTTGGTGAGTCTGTCTGACTTTGCTGCTGTGTTAATTTATGATTGTTTTGAAAGTCAAACTTTTATAGTGAGGAGGAGCCTGGTTATCCTGACACGTCATCCAAAATCAACTTGTTTATTGACAATAAGAAAATTAATTCAATTCAATTTTATTTATATAGCGCCAAATCACAACAACAGTTATCTCACAGCGCTTTTCATAAAAGAGCAGGTCTAGACCGTACTCTGTGATGTTATTTACAGAAGCCCAACAGTTCCCACCAAGAGCAGCACTAGGCGACAGAGGCAAGGAAAAACTTCCTTTTAAGAGGCAGAAACCTCGAGCAGAACCATGGCTCAGGGTGGGTGGGGGTGGGTGAGAGGGTGGGGTGAGAGAGAGAGAGAGAGAGAGATGTAAGGAGAGAGAGAGAGAGAGAGAGAGAGAGAGAGAGAGAGAGAGAGAGAGAGAGAGAGAGAGAGAGAGAGAGAGAGAGAGAGAGAGAGAGAGAGAGAGTAAGGAGAGAGAGAGGGGAGGGAGGCAGCCTACACAATATACACACAGAGGTACAGACAGTGAAGGTAATGTTGCTATAGACTAAATGAAAAATGGTACAGATATTTATATAGTGTTAATGGTAACCATCGTAATGTTAATGATTATAATAACAATAAGACTAGCAACAATAGTCGTTGCAGCAGAGGGTGTCGAGCAGGAACACGGGGGCAGCAGGTGACCCGCAGCCACAGATCCAGACTCCACAGCTCCAGAGCCAGAAAACCTGCAGGAAGTGATAGGAGGAGAGGAGAGAGACGAGAAAGCACAAGACTACCAGAAAGGGGAGAAGTTGTGTTAGTAACATGCAATAATGGGATAAGGTTGCATACAGAGGGAGAGAAAGTAGAGGAGAGAGGAGCTCAGTGCATCATGGGAAATCCCCCGGCAGTCTAGGCCTATAGCAGCATAACTAAGGGATGGTTCAGGACTCACCTGAGCCAGCCCTAACTATAAGCTTTATCAAAGAGGAAAGTCTTAAGCCTACTCTTAAATGTGGAGATGGTGTCTGCCTCCTGAACCCAAACTGGAACCTGGTTCCACAGGAGAGGAGCTTGATAGCTGAACGCTCTGGCTCCTAGTCTACTTTTGGAGACTCTAGGAACCACAAGTAACCCTGCATTCTGGGAGCGCAGTGCTCTGGTGGGGTAGTAAGGTACTATGAGCTCTTTAAGATAAGATGGTGCCTGACCATTAAGAGCTTTGTAGGTAAGAAGAATGATTTTAAATTCTATTCTGGATTTTACTGGAAGCCAATGCAAAGAAGCTAAAACAGGAGAAATGTGATCTCTTTTCCTGGTTCCTGTCAGAACACGTGCTGCAGCATTCTGGATCAGCTGAAGAGTCTTAATGGACTTTTTCGAGCAGCCTGATAATAAGGAATTGCAGTAATCCAGCCTAGAAGTAACAAATGCATGGACTAGTTTTTCTGCATCATTTTTAGACAGGATGTTCCTGATTTTCGCAATATTACGTAGGTGAAAAAAGGCGGTCCTTGAAATTTGCTTAATGTGAGACTTAAACGACATGTCCTGATCAAAGATAACTCCAAGATTCCTCACAGTGGTGCTGGAGGCCAGGCGATGCCATCCAGGGAAACTATATCTTTAGATAATGCGTCACGGAGGTGCTTAGGCCCCAGAGCAATAACTTCAGTTTTATCTGAGTTTAACATAGAAAATTACAGGTCATCCAGGTTTTAACATCCTGAAGGCACATTTGAAGTTTAGCTAACTGATGAGTTTCATCTGGCTTGATCGATAGATATAACTGAGTATCATCTGCATAACAATGAAAGCTTATGGAATGTTTCCTGATAATATTGCCTAAAGGAAGCATATATAAAGTGAAGAGGATTGGTCCAAGGACAGATCCTTGAGGAACTCCATGAGTAACTTTGGCGTGCATGGAGGACTCATCGTTAACATGTACAAACTGAAATCGATCTGATAAATAGGACTTAAACCAGCTTAGAGCGGTTCCTTTAATGCCAATGAAATATTCCAGTCTCTGCAATAGGATCTGATGGTCAATGGTATCAAATGCAGCACTAAGATCTAATAAAACCAGTACAGAGACAAGTCCTTTGTCTGATGCAATAAGGAGGTCATTAGTAATTTTCACCAGTGCTGTCTCTGTGCTATGATGAGCTCTAAATCCTGACTGAAAATCCTCAAATAAACTATTGCTCTGTAGAAAGTCACACAGCTGTTTAGCAACTGCTTTCTCCAGAACCTTAGAGAGAAATGGAAGGTTAGATATAGGTCTATAGTTGGCTAAAACATCCGGATCAAGTTTGGGCTTTTTCAGAAGAGGTTTAATTACAGCTACTTTAAAGTACTGTGGTACATAGCCTGTTGATAAAGATAGATTGATCATATCTAGTATAGAGGTGCTGACTAAGGGTAAAACATCTTTAAGCAGCCTAGTCGGGATGGGGTCTAAGAGGCAGGTTGATGGTTTAGATGAAGAAATTATTGAAGTTAGTTGGTAAAGATTGAGGGAAGCAAAACAGTCTAAACATGTATCTGGTTCTACAGCTGTTTCTAAGGTTCCTGAGTTAAGAGATAAGTCGGTGCCAGTTGAGGGCAGGTCTTGGTGAATTTTGTCTCTAATAGCTAGAATTTTATCATTAAAGAAGCTCATGAAGTCGTAACTACTGAGAGCTATGGGAATACTTGGCTCAATAGAGCTGTGACTCTCTGTCAGCCTGGCTACAGTGCTGAAAAGAAACCTGGGGTTGTTCCTATTTTCCTCTATTAATGACGAGTAGTACGCTGCTCTGGCATTACGGAGGGCCTTCCTATAAGTTTTAAGACTATCTTGCCAAATTAAACGAGAATTTTCCACTTTGGTGGAACGCCAATTCCTCTCAAGTTTCCGTGATATTTGCTTTAATTTGCGAGTTTCAGTATTATACCATGGAGCTAACCGTCTTTGTTTTAGTATTTTCTTTTTTAGAGGGGCTACAGAGTCGAGTGTCATTCGCAGCGAGCCTGCAGCACTATCAACAAGATGATCGATTTGGGAGGGACTGAAATTAGCATAGGAGTCCTCCGTTACTTTGTGACTAGATAATGTATTTAGAGCTGATGGAATCGCATCCTTAAATTTAGCTATAGCACTATCAGACAGACATCTTGTATAGAAATTTTTGCCCAATGGCGAGTAGTTCAGCAATACAAACTCAAAAGTTATCAAACAGTGGTCGGATAAAGAGGGATTCTGTGGGAACACCACTAAATGTTCAATTTCAATACCATACACCAAAACAAGGTCGAGGGTGTGGTTAAAACAGTGAGTCGGTTCATGAACACTCTGAGAGAAGCCGATGGAATCTAACAAGAGATAAACGCAGTACTGAAGCTGTCATTCTCAACATCCACATGAATATTAAAATCCCCTACAATAATAACTTTGTCCGTTTTAAGGACTAAAGTTGACAAAAACTCTGCAAATTCAGATAAGAATTCAGAATACGGGCCAGGTGCTCGGTACACTATAAAAAAAGAATTGGTTGCAGTGATTTCCAACTTGGGTGCGAAAGACTAAGAACAAGACTTTCAAATGAGTTATAGTTTAGTTTAGGTTTAGAGCTGATTAGTAGGCTAGAGTCGAAGATAGCTGCAACTCCACCTCCTCGGCCTGTGCCTCGAGGAATGTGAGTATTAATATGACTGGGAGGGGTGGATTCATTTAGGCTAACATATTCTCCATCACCCAGCCAGGTTTCAGTAAGACCAAATAAATCAATATCATAATCTGATATTAGTTCATTTACTAGTACACCTTTAGAAGAGAGAGATCTGATGTTTAAGAGTCCACATTTAACTCTCCTATTCGTTTGCACTATTGCTCTTGTGGTTTTAATTTTTATGAGGTTTTTATGCACAGCTCCTCTTCTGTTTACCTTTTTAAATAATTTCGATGGTCGGGGGACAGACACCGTCACTATAGGATTTTCACTAAGTAACTCCTGAAATGGAGGAGCAGAGAAGTGTGTTAGACTGCGACTCTGCGTAGGGTTTTGGGTGGGTAACTGCTGAAAAAGAAGGGCAGAGAAGTGTGTTAAACTGCGACTCTGCCTCCTGGTCTCAACTCTGGGTTGTCATGGATTTGGTCCACTAATAAACTTGGCCAGATTTCTAGAAATGAGAGCTGCTCCTTCCCAAGTGGGATGGATGCCGTCTCTCCGGATCAGACCAGGTCTTCCCCAGAAAGTCTGCCAATGATCAACAAAGCCCACATCGTTTGCTGGACACCACCTCGACAACCAGCGGCGGAATGACGACATGCGGCTATACATGTCATCACTGGTCAGATTTGGCAGGGGTCCAGAGAAAACTACGGTGTCCGACATTGTTTTTGCATATGTACACACCGACTCAACATTAATCTTAGTGACCTCCGATTGGCGTAACCGGGAGTCATTACCGCCGACGTGAATAACAATCTTACTGTATTTACGTTTATCCTTAGCCAGCAGTTTCAAATAAGACTCAATGTCGCCCGCTCTGGCCCCAGGGATGCACTTAACTATGGCCGCTGGCTTCGCTAAATTCACGTTTCTCAAAATGGAGCTGCCAATGATCAGAGTTGGTTTCTCAGCGGGTGTGTCGCTGAGTGGGGAAAATCTGTTAGAAACGTGAACAGGTTGATGATGCCCCGTGGACTTTGAATGCTTACTATTCCTCCTTCGGACAGTCACCCAGCCCCCCTTTCCTGGCTGCACAGGGGATGCCGGGGACGGCTACCAGAGGCTAACTCAGGCCGTTCCGCACCGACTACCGGGGACTGGCTAGCTACAGTAGCTAAAGACTGATCTACCAGGTGCGGAGCCGGACTTCTAATCACTGAGCCTCGCCTCCATGTCTATAAATAAACTACACCTATAACACGTACCATTACCGCTAAAGGAGGCAGAGGAGTAACTGAACATCTGACACACCGAGCAGGAGAAAGTAGGAGAGAGAGAGGGAGAAGGAGAAGCCATCGCTAGCTGCTAAGCTAAAGTCGCTAACGGCTAAGCTAAAGTACTGTAGCGTCAGTTACCAAAACTTTAGAACAACTATGAGATTGAACAGCAGTCACTAAAAGATGGAAAGAACTGTGAGTGCTTAGGCAAAATTACTGTAAAGAATAAGTGTTTAGCGAACAGTTGGCCGCTGTAATCAAACAAATGTAACTGTTATTTAGCGAGAGCAGCACAACACGGTACCAACACACAAGCACCGGAACGGAAATGAGTCGACACGCTTACCGCAA